AAATTTGGTATGATTCTTGATTTCCATATAGAGGATAGAATTTTGAAGGTAAAGATGTGTTAGATGAGTATAAATGGATTTAAGTATGTATATTTGAGTTAAGAATATGGAAGGGATTAAAATATGAAGTGTTTGAGTTGAAATGAGTAAATTTTGGGCTTAAAATGTAAAAATCTGGGCTTGGGTATCGATACTGCTTCATCCAGTACCGATACTTCAAGAGTAAAATAGGGATATTTGGTATAGAGGTATCGATACTGGTTGAACAATATCGATACCATAAGTCTGAATTTAGTAAAGGCATTCATGAGGTATCGATACTAATGTATAGGTATCGGTACCATAGTATAGTAGTATCGATATCAGGTTAAGGGTATCGATACCAGAAAACATCGAATCTAATTTCGGTATCGATACCGAGGGGGTATCGGTACCATACAATAGAAGTATTGGTATTGTGCCTATAGTACCGATACTACTTCAGTTGGGGAAGTTGGTATTACTATTTTAGTTAGTTTAAATTAGTAAGAATCCTTTTTTTAGTATTTCAAATCCCAATATTCATTAGATTATATTGTGTAGATATTGAACTCAAGCAAGTTCTGGAACGATCACAGAGTTAGGATCGATCCAAAGAGAAAGATTTATAGAAGTGAATTTGGGATTAAGCAAGACTAAGGGAGTGCATACCATAGTTAGTATAGATATTGTTTTATGGAAATAAGACTTGTGATAAGTCTATTTCCTATAGTTGAATTCATGATTTCATATTCATTTACATGCATATGTTATGATTATAATGAGTATGTGCATAATTTATACATGTTTTAATATGATATAATATGTGATGAATGCAACTATAAGAGAATAGTACCAAGTTATGTATGAAAAGATAAATAATCATATATGTACATGTGATTTGTTTATAAGAGAAGTGATTTGAAATGTAAAAGGTGTCTGTATTTAAGCTCATGTTATATGATATAAGAGTTGTAGGTATAATTGGCATGCTAAGAGTCGAGGGTTATAAGTTGTCCTTCGGGACAAAGTGGTCTTTCGGGACAAATTTTAAGTTCCCCTTATGGGAATTTATTCGAGCTTTAGGGACAACATTTGTGCACAACCTCAGTGTGCTTACGTACCTCTTGTTCTCAATAATGTACATGAACATCCAAAGATAAATTGAATTAAAACTCGCATAGGAAGATAGGTTTCATATGTGCATGACATGATCATATATGTTATAGTTTAGTAGATACATGCAAATTGTAATGTCACGATGGAATGATAGTAGTGCATGATTCATGAATTTATTATTACATATTATGCTATACCTCACTAAGTCTGTAACTTAGCGTGTAAGTGGTTTACACGTAGGTACCAGAAGCAGAAATACCAGAGTTAAGGTCTAGGAAGGCAGCATCTCCTTTAAAGTGATCAGATCAGAAGTGATTTAAACAGTATGTCATTTTGTTATAATAATCATGTTGACATGTAATTATAGTTTAAATCATAAATGCTCTGATTGATTTTGTAATCATTTTGGGATAACATCTATGTAAATTATTGTACTGTACTTTTAATAAAAGTTTTAAATTTTATGAGATTTTTGTCAAAGTAAGCGTTTTGAAAAGTCAAGGTGACACCTCAGATTCGTATCCGGGATGGATATGGGTGGGGGTATTACAAATTGGTTAACCGATGTGGCTCAAAAATCTAGTAATACTTTACTACCCTATGCATGATTTATGGTACATGTTGGTGATTTGTTAATGCATTATTGGAGTTATTGGTCAATTAAATAGAGTTAATTATTGATGGACTCGAATTAAATACGACATAAAGACAGTAAACCCAGTAAGACTCAATTGACTCGTCTAATGAACTAGAAGATCGATAAGAGATAAATCTAAGTTTAGTGATTTAATTAGTAAATCAATTAATCTCGGGACTCGTTAAAAGCTAAATTATCGAAAGTACTTTACATATCTGAATTACTTGAAATGACTATATTATATGACAAAGTTAAACTAAATGCAAGTATTTTACGTATCCGAATTGTTGAAACGATCGACTTACTCTGGAATCTCTGAAATGACCGGGATAAACTTGAATACTAAATGACCTAAGTACCCTTAATGACCTAGAATTAAGTGGATGATTGGGATAAGTTTGGAAACATTGATGAACTTATATGTTGTACTGTCCATAAGGACTATTAACCACGAATCAAGCACGTCGATATTTCTTAATACCGTTGCAATACAAAATGACATAAATATCATTGGAATACTTGTTTGTCTCCCTAAGATCCATTCAATGATGATTCTGAAGGTCATCAGTTCAACTATAGCAATCAATATTAAAAAATGAATAATGGTGAAGTACATCAGTCTGAATGGTTGGCAAATATCGCAGTGTTGGGATTAGTTAGTTTAATTTGACTCGAAATTCTGATAACTCGATATTAATTCTAAATTATATAAATGGTTGTTTTACTCTCATTGGGTTAAATTACTAAGAATTCTTCGAGAAACCAAAATGTCTAAAATGCCTCTGATTACCTGAATAATTGAATCACTTCTGTCATATCTGAAATCTCAAATAACTCTAAGTTAAAAGATTCTGAATACCATTCTGATTACCCATTAACTCCGAAACATATATGAATGTTATGATCTTGATAAATCACTTCCTGGATGACTGATGAATCCGCTAGCCATCAAACTTCCTTTTTATAAGGATTTCATTTTTGAAATTCAATCAGTTTGCAGAAGTTTTAATTTCCCCCGCTTGATAATTGCTAAGTATCTCTGGAAAATAACTAGATCCTCTAGTGTGTTCCTTATGTGATATATAATTGTTTTACATTTTTAGAATGTGATTTTCTGAAAGTACAAATTTACTGAAGTATTGATTTACTGTTTATGAACTATGGCTACATGATATGTGTTCTCTAATTACTGTTTTTACTGATAAATAAAAATATGTATGAACTCTGATTACAGAAGTTTCTTGTTTCCCCGCTTGATAATTGTTAAGTACCTCCGGAAAATAGTTGGATCCTTTAGTGTGTTTCTTATGTGCTATATAATTGTTTTACCCATTTTAGAATGCGATTTTTTGAAATTAAAGATTTACTGAAGTATTGATTTACTGTTTCTGAACTATGACTACATGATATGTGTTATCTGATTATTATTTTTACTGATAAATAAATATTTCTGAACTCTGATTTCCTGCTACTACTGATTACTAGCTGAAAAAATGTTTTTCTTCGAGGTACTTTGGGATATAGTATGAAGTTTCTGCAGGTTCAGTTCTGATCAATCTGGTAATTCCTTATATAGGTTCAACACTGATCAGCTAATAATTCCTTATTGTAGGTTCAGTTTTGATCAAGCTGGTAATTCCTTATATAGGTTCAACTACGATCAGTTTGTAATTCTATATGGACCTAAGGCGACCCTTGGGTGGGCTCCTCGGCCTAATGGGCCTAGTGGTAAGACCTTATGGACCTTAAGGTACTCCCTTAGAGTAACTTATCTGTTGTGTGCATTGGGTAAGTCTTTATGGGCCTCAGGGAACATCCCTCAGGTGGACATTTACGCTTCGGCTAGGGTAAGACCTTATGGACCCAAAGTGCTCCCTTAGGTTGACACCTACGCCCAATGGGCCTAAGGTAAGTCCTTATGGGTGCAGTTCTGGAGAACTGCATATCAGTGTTCAGTTGGAGGGTATTATTATGATTTTAAAATATTGTTTAAATTATTAATGTTTTTAATGGATCTATACACATTTCTCTGCTTTGTTGGAACACACTAGACTCCCCAATTTAATCTTCTGAATATGTCTCTCTCTGAATACTTTCTTCAGACCATAAATTCTTGTTTGTAACTGAAGACTTAGCTAATGAAATATGAATTCACCACTAGAATTTGATGATGATTGTCCCTCTAAGGAATTTATGTTTTACCTTATACTCGATGGCCTATTGCATTCATTTGGTAGTTTTGTATTACCGAGCTTTCCAAAGCCCACTCTATTTCTTACCATTTCAGGTTAATGAGTTTGATCCTATTCTTTTACCGATATCAGTAAAGGAGTTCCACCGGCGTTGCTTGCAGAGTATGGAGCATGTAATTAGGGAGGGACATGTAGTACGATGCATGTAATTAGGGAGTGGCATGTAGATTGTATTTTGTTTTTATATTTGAGTTTGAAACTTGTTTTACTACTATTTTATCTATAAATTATTTTACGATTTTAAATAGATTAACAAAAAATTTAAATTTTTCATGAATTTTTATTGTGGGTCGCTCTGGTGGCCCTAATGCAACATCTCAGATCAGATCGGGTAATCCGTATCAGTATAAGGGTGTTAAACTATGTTGATTTCATTGTGGGCAAATCCCTTTACTTCAAAAATCTTTTGTTTGGGGTTATGGTAAAGTTTACATTTCCAAGTGATTCAAGAATTTTTATGCATATGTTCGACGATAGTGTTTGCTTGATTTGTGGAAATTTAGTGAATTTTATGGAAGCAGAATAGGGGTGCAACTGTGAGTCAAGCATTGCTAACTTTTAAGAATTACATAATGTGAAGTTTATAAAATTTCAGTAACACACAATTAGATTATTAATAAAAAATATTTAAACTAAATAAAATTTTAAAATATTTAAAGATGTAATTATCCCCGCATTTTTATTTAAAAGAAGAAGACATATTTTCATAAGGAAGGGAGGAAACATAATTTCTATAATTTCAACATTAACAAAGATTTAAAAAAGTTGTTTAATTTAATTTAATTTAAAAATTATCGATTTAAACCAAACATTTTGGAGGGTACAAATAGTAATTTTATTTCATACAAATATATTTGTCTACAAATTTATTATGAGGTCATCATTCGAAAAACGATATTTATATATTAAATTATATTGTTTTCTCCGGCCGTTAATAATTATTTACATCATAAGGAGTCCATCAGATATAAACCCTAATTTCCATTTAGGGTTCCATTGAAAGCAGACAACCTTTCCAACATGAAGTTAAACTCTGCATCAGAACAAAGCATGCTAACCCTTGTGTAGGTTGCTTCAACCCCAAAACTCGTCCCTCCCCTTGTCATTATTCCACACTCTTCTCTTAACACATCCTCACAGTTCAATCCCTCCTTGCACCTCAACCATGCAAAAGCTGCACCAAGAAAAAGAAAAACCCAAGTATAAGATCATCTCATCGAATATCAGTAGAATCGAATGCATGATTTTATATCAAATGTACGAACTTAAAATGTTATATTAGAAATTTAAGAAGTGTGAAATTATAAAATGTCCGGGCTCAATAGAATATATATATATAACACGAGGATTTGAAATTTCGAGACGTAGGAACGATCCCTGAATATCAGTACTGTTATGTAATAAGCAAAGTGATTATTCAAGGCATTTATACCAGGGTTTGAATCGGTGTATTTGCCGGTGAATTTGCAATAACCTTGTGGGTACTCGGGCAAGCTGAGAACTCCATTGCTTTTCATCACCACTTCCCGGAGTTTTTTCCATCGGTTGGACATGAGGCGCCGCCCGTGCTTGAAGAAGTTTACTTCTTTGAGCTTGGGATTCTGGCAGTCGTCGGCGATGACTCCGAGAATAGTGGAGGCACGAAGCTGGGATTCTTTGGATACACCGATGCTGCTCACCTCTATGAATGTCACCATCTTGGAGGCGATTGCTTTATCCTTAACGATAGCCCAACTGTAGAAATACGGTTTGAGTTTGAGTCTTGTAAATGAAAAAAAAAAATTCAACTTCAACTTAATTAAAGTAGGTCCAATGTGATTCATGGCAGATGATTGTTACCCGATGCGAGAACCGGCATGTCCGGTGGCTTTGGAGAAGGTGAAAAGCATAACATCGTGATCAGCTTTACGTGTTATGGTCGTGTACTGAGGCCAATAGTAGGCTAGGTCATGAATACATTTACCACCTTCACGGTTCACCACGGTTCCTCGAATTGAGCCATCGGGGTTGTTCGGTGAAGTCACCACCTCGATGTAAGCTTGGTCTTCATCAAAGCGGTTTGCATCGCCTGCCCATTTATATAGCCTCGATCGGAGGAACTCAGTCTCCATTGGATACGACTGCAATCGAAGGTAATTTTTAGTAAGGTTTGATTATGTCCTCAGTCCTTGAAATTTTTAATAATGTACGGACGGACGATTTTATATTAAATAATAAATTTATAAAATTTTAAAGATGAACTTATATAAGAATTTAAAATTTTTAAAGAGAATGATCGTCTTCGTCAACCCCTCAGTTTAACCTTATCTTCCATATATTATTAATGGATAAGGGAACTGCGATTGTGTGAGAGGCTTACCGAGTAGAAAGGGGCGGCAGCGATCACACTAATGGGTTCAGGTTGATCAGGAGAAGAGAGGGCGTAGAGCAAAGCATGGAAGATCTGTGTGGAGCCATTTCCGACGATGATGAATCGGTCATCATCGACAACGGCATTCCCGACGACATGGTGCAGTCTCCGAATAGCACGGTCGAGCTCCGACATCAAAAACCAACATAGATTTACTGAATTGCTGAAGTAGCTCATCAATTCATCTGCTGAAATTATCATTTTACACCTATCACCCATCTTTTTCCAGTATGGCTCGTACAATATAGGATCACCACTGTATGAAAAAAAATCCATTAATTCATCACTTTATTGTTCATCCTATTTGTATTAAGGATATCTTACATGACAGTTACGTGCATGCGTAAAGGTCCAAAAAAATTGTAAATATCGTAATCGAATCTTAAACTTCTTTTAAGGGTGATTGTTAGAATATTAATGCAAATGAGATTAGGGAAGGAGATAAGGGAGAATAGTTCGGTTTTTCTCGACTCGAAAATTGAAGGTTTTTATTAAATCAAAACACATTTCGGTGTTTGGTAATATTCCACCCGTTTGGAACCCACCTTGAAATTTAATGTAAAAATCAGACCTAACCCAACAGTGGTTTATAGTAATTAATCCTAGATATATATAGAACATTGTAGTATTTATTTAGGTCGGGTCGGTGGGTTTTTTTTATTATCTTAAATCCAACTTAATTCTATGATCAACTCTCTCATTTGCAAAATCTGCATTATCCTATTCAGATCGAATTCAAGTTTCAAAAGAAAAACGATATATAAAATCATATTGTTTCAAAACACGTTGAATTTTGATATTTTGATTATCCTTAAACGAGACACCAATTCAAAAAAAAATGCATGCAATTGTGTAAACGGAATCAATTGATGCGTTGGACTTACCGAGCAAGATCGACGACGGAGTTCGAGAAGAGAGTAGTAGGTGTTCTTGTGGCGACGGACACTTCCGATTTTTCTGCCGGGACTACTGTTTCAACTCCGACCACCATCTTAGCTTCCATCAAAAGAGATTGAAACTCAACTTTTCTGCAAACAAGTTTAGGGTTTGTACCTTGTGGAATGAGGTATGGATGCATATACACGCACATATATGTTCGTGAAGAGGAAACGGGAGAGCTAAAGTTTTAGGTTACAATAAAACAACTTAACATCAATCGGTTCGGTCGGTAGTATATAGGTTAAAAATAACGGTGTGATTGGCAACAGTTAGAAAAAAAAATAACGATGGTAATGAGATCAATAACTACTCTAATGAAATTGAATATTATAGTGGTGAAATTAAAAACGACAATAATATATATATATATTTGAATTCAAAATTAATATTTAGTTCGAATTAATCATTTAAATGAATGAATATTAGTGGTTAACAAATAAAATAAAAAGAAACTTTTTACTTCTTTCTTTCTCTGGGTTGCTTCTGCTCGAAATTTCACATCTTTTATGCAGCAAGCAGGAAACTTATTAATCGAATACGGAAGAAGATACCCATTCATGAGCTATTCCACAACAACTAAGCTTATGCGATAATGAATCAAAAACAAAACACGATATGTATACATACATAATTATTATTAATATATGTTACATACAACGAGGATTAAATAACAAGAGATCATAGATAAGAATATATAGATTTTAGATAATAAAAAATTAAATTAAAAGAAATTTCGTATCTACTACAATTTTTTATCTTTCAACATAATTTATTTCTTTACTGAACTATAGATTTTAAAATATCATATCATTTCTGCATCATTTTGAAACATCAAATCTTTAGTCAGATATAAGTACACCCGAAATTCAACTCGATTTTTAAGTATAAATCTACACCTAATCTGACTTGATATATATTTTATTTTTATTAGATAAAATTGAGATTTAATTGAAAAATATATAAAGAGATATATTATTGTAATTATTCCTAAAAATTTAAGAAATAATTATATTATTACATTCTATCGAATATTTTTCATCTTAAATCCAAAACTAATCTTATCTTATTCTTCAAAATCTCAACTCAACTCAAATTCAATTTTCAATTTTATTATCACTTGGATAAAAAACAACAACAAAAAGAAGTAAAAAGCCAACAAGTACACGAATAAACCATCTATTTAGCGACTATGTCGGTCCAGTTACTCAACATTATTTCATAACCCCACCGATGCAAATATACCTAGGAGGATAAATCAGAAGATTAACACATTAATAGTCGGATCACGTGATAGTTTAATACTGACGTGGGATGATACAAAAGCTAAACATTTAATTTTTTATTTTATACCATCTTCTTTATCAAAGTTATGGTGTTTTCCACTCATTTTCAATCGTCTATGAAAATTATCGTTCTTTGATATTTTTTGTGATCACGTCAGACATTGGTGAACTCGTCTTATCATCCTTTAGTACTTTATTAGTTTAGATTTTTTTCAAAATATTTTTAAAAACTCATGAGGTTTAACACAAATTCACCATTTTTTAAGGTTTAGAGTTTTCTCGAGTTTAAGGGAGTTTGGTGTTTGTTATAAAATTCAAACGGTGAGAAACAAATGTTGAGAAGACTGACAACATACCTCGAAACTAGTCTCATCGGATGGTCAGAGGAGATTAGAGTATTAAAATATCAAAACTCTAGATGAATTTTCGTCAATTTCGGGTGAGTTTCCTAGAAAGCCAATTCGATGAGAAGAAAGAGGAGTGAAATAAAAATGTTTTGGTACCAATTTTAATGCGAATGACGAACAACAACGAACGTTGATTGACCACAAAGACCAAAATAATACACAAACTAAAGTTTAATACCTAAAAATGAAATATCTTAAAGTTTAATGACAAATTTGATACACAAACAAAAGTTCACGTGAAAGAATGACAACATCATCACACCACAGATGATTTAATGACCTAATACTTACATTAAATTCAAAACCAAAGTTTAGTGCCAAATTCGAAGTGTTCTAAAATTTAGGGATAAGATCAATACAGTATTTTTTTTGTATTTTTAATAAAATATAGTATTACTAATTGAGTCTTAGTTAAATTATCATCATTGTTATCATAATACTTTGAAGGTTATATATTTAAATAGGTTTCTATATATATATATATATATATATATATATATATATACGTTCAAACGCACATATGATATTTAGGGCTAATTCCAATATTGTTATAATATATATATATTTAAATAGTTTATATATATATTTAAATAGGTTTCTATAAATATATATATATATATATATATATACTTCCTCTTGGTTTGGGAAAAATGCTTCTAGACAATGTTGTGTAAAAATATAGTTTGTTAATGTTAAGTGTAGCATTGTTGTCAAAAATTGCGGTGTGAAATTAGAATGCTCCAAATTTTATAGGAATCCAGTATCCACCTTATATACAAGTACGTGTTTGATACAGGTATCGGGTACAATATCGGACAATAGTAAAGATAAAGTTTATCAGTGGCATTAAGAAAATAATGATGGGAGACAAAGAAGTAGAAAATTACAAAGATCTTTTATTGTTGACAAAGGCCAATCGTGTTCATTCTAAGCAAACAATTCCAAATGTTTCAGTAAATATGGACTAAACATCACTTCGTGAGATTTCTAGCTCAATGGCAAAGGAAGTCTACTTAAAACGACCCACTTGAAAACGAAAAACCGAGGCAGAAATCAAGAACCAACAACTTAGGCAGCTGCAGTGATGTACTGGATTGCCTGCTGGCAAATACCGGTCATTGTAGCTTCCGGACCGTAAACCTATGAGAGCAGCGCCGAATCATAAACAAAAGAAATCAGCAAATGTGTTTAGTTTGGAAAATGATTTAGACCGATGATCATTTACGTCTTGTGGTTTATAAGTTCTATATCATAGGGATACCTCAATAGGGATTCCGATTTCCTCTCCGAGTTCCCGCATTTTCGCAAGGCCCCTCTGGTAATTCGGACCTCCTCTCCTCACATATATCTGCATCCGCGCGGCTTTGAGCTTTGATTCCTATATAAATTTGCGCATCCATTTAGTATTAACATATCAAGGTGGACAACAGGTTAAGTAATACATCACTATTGTAAAGTTCACCTTCTCCTTCAAGGCTCGGATTATGCCGTTAAATGTAGCCCCCACGTCAGTGAAGTTAGCTATTCCTCCACCGATTACAAGGGCTCTTTTGCGACCATCAGGGTCTGTGGTTGCGCACTATCCAGGAACAATGAAATCATTCACAGCACACAAAAATTACCCCATGATGCTTATGAATGCATGGTTAGTTTTATATCTGTAATTACTCGAAAAACATTTCATAGTGTCTTCGACAAAAGTTTGAGACAGCATTAGTCGTTCAAGTGCAAGATCCAGGTTTCTACTGTAGCAACAATATAACATAAATTAAGGGCCAGAGTCCTTACATCAATTACTACTCTGGCATACTGCAATACTTCCTCTTCGTTTGGTGCTCCACTGTATTCTGCATAGTTTCCAAGCTCAGAAGCAAAGCCGAGATCTCCGACCTGATTAAACAATGAATAACACGAGTAAATTAAATGCATGACTGATACCTTAAAATTACAGGGTTTTAGTCCTATCCTCAAAATCCAGAGAGAAAAAAAAATGACCAACCGTATCGGCATAAATGACACTTGCACCTCCTCCAGCTACCATTGTCCAAATGCGTCCCTTAGGATTCAACACCGTAAATTTCAGAGACGCACTTGTCTGCAATATAAATATTTTTTAATCAATTCCATACTTGTGGGTAAACTCTTAGACAAACTGCAACATATATCACACCACTTTTTATTGGAATAACTGGACAGTAAACTGAATGAAAGATTCAGGTTTACTTAGAGATAATAATACAACAATCTGATTAATAAATTGGCATACGCTATATCATAAACAGATCAAGTTTTGACACCAATTGGGTGATTAGCAAGTAAAGAATGAATTTGCATTCAAGGCCAACTATCTATTAAATCTAATTTACCTTCTCATCTAGCCCATGAATATAGCTTTCAGTTGCACTCATAACTCTTCCAAAAGGCATTGGAAATTCAATATTACCCCACCTACAAAGAAATGAAATTGCATCAGTTGAATTTTATCCCCTATTCCACACTGCATTAAACAATAAATAGAGGAAACTACTGATAAAAGGAGATATACTTCTTGAAGTTCTTGAAAGCAGCAGTGTCATCCAGTTCGCCTCTCATGTCCAAAGGATAAGGCTTTCCATCAACCAGCGTGAAAGGATTCATCTCAAGGAAAGTGAAGTCCAGATCTGACATTTTCAAAGTTGAAAAAGTTAATTACAAGTTCCAAATGTTAGTTTGAATAGTTTTAGATTCAAGCAAGATAAATGCCATACCTTGAAACAGAGTAAAAATCACTTTGATGAACTCTTCAATTTCTCCTTTGATCTATAATAAAAGTAAATACTTTTAGTTTAAAATTCAAAGAGCATTTTACAGAATGCATACATTGGAAAATCTATCTGATGAAGTTTTGCTCAAGTTAAGCAGAGGAAAATTTAAAGCAAAACTACAGAGAATAGAGAACTAGTGAAAGTACAATCAAGAAGTAAAGGCAGCTCAGAAAATCTTTGATTATTAAGAAAAATAACCTCCAAGGGAAGGGTTGCAACAAGTGGAGCACAAGCTTCTGATGTGAAAGGTGACCCAGTTGGTACAAAGATTGTCTTAACCTGTATGAAGGATAACCCATCTTAGCAAAGAAACTATTAAGGTAAAGCCAAAACAAGAAAAAACAAAAAGTAAACTGAGAAACAGTTTAAGATAATTTCAAAGTACCTTATCCCAATTCTCTTCAATTTCAATCCCTCCACAATCTGAAAAGCTAACGCTGCAACCAAGTCGCTCAGAGACTATGTTAAGGTAGAACTCTTCATTGTGAGGGATGAAAGGTTCAACAATGAATGTTGTAACAGGCCCCTTGCATCCACCCATTTCTACCTGTAAGTCAAGAGCAGTTAACAGACAGTCGAACCCTCAACCTTAATAATGACAAATTAATGGCTGTAAAAAACACAAACAGAAAGCAAACCTCTTTGCCAAGGCGCTCTTTCACAAAAGCAATAACTTGAGCAAAA